CATTTCTTACAGTGGACTAGATGAGAATCTTTTTCTCTCACACCCCGCATCTAATTTTTGATTACAAAATAAAGTAGACCATATATAAGATGACAGAAAAATTGCCTACATCCCCCCATTATGTTTTACTGGCAGGTCAGTAAAGCAAGTCAGTATTGAGACAATAGCAAGAAAGAATACAGAAATACTCTTATACTGCCCCATGAAGATTTCTCAGCTATCCCACTAAAAAACCCTGCAATTCCTACATAAATACATGCACTTGAACATCAGCAAAACTATTAAGACCATTTTTTTTTTTTTTTCAAAACTAACTGTAAATTTATTGTAAGTTTGTTGTTTAAAACATCTCGTGCTGACACCAGCTAATAACTAAGTGATGCAGCTCAGTTTTTTAATTAAGCAATTATATATTCAGGCCCCTGTTACTGAAATTAAACCTCAGTCATAGCAGAAAGCTCCAGAAGGGGACAAAATGCTCTACAGCTTTGTAGGGTTGGTATTTTTGTAAAACAGCAGCAGGTCCATCTAAAGCACATCTAATTCAAAGTCAACAAAGGTTACTGTACATCTTATATGAGCTGCAGACAAGAGCATTCTCAGGCTTAGAAGGTAGAATTCTCTAGAGACACTTTGGATGGGGAAGTAGGCTCCAGCTGGTGATAAGGACCACCAGAAACTTCACATCCATCTTAAATCAGCTTCCTCTATGAAGCATTTGCATTTAAAATCGTAAAAAGAAATCCAAACACCAATAGCAATCCAAATTCCTCCACAATGCATTGTCAGTAATTCCTTTTGAAAGATCATGGAACAGAAAGTGATCCCTCCCATAGCAAAAAGTGAAGACTTCAAACATCACTGGGAAGCATTCAGATCCTATACTGATCCCACAGTATGTAGAACAAAATAGCTTATAATTCAGATTATGTTTATGGACAAAGCTGGAGTAGCTTCAAGGCCGAGACAGTTACCCTAGATCAGTGCCATAAATGTTATTATATGTGAAACAGCTGCAAGATAAATTCTTTCATATCATGCATAGGTATAGTTGTACTTTCAGCTGTCTCACTGTTGAAATACTGTAAGCTTGTTGTAAACACAGGTTTTCCTATTCATAAAATGCATTTGTAACTCTTAGTTGCATGTGAACAAGTGGCTCCTTATAGCTCAAGTTCATAAAAATAAAAAAAAACCATCACAGCAAGACACATGGGAAGAACCAGGGTATACAACTTCAGAAGCTACACATATGAAATATTCATATTCCTTAAAAATGACCTTAGTAAACAGGGGAGAGAAAAAAAAAAAAAAAAAAAAAAAAAAGAAAAAAAATCACAAAAAAAAATAAATTAAAAAAAAAAAAAGTCTTAGTTAAATGATTAGTGCTATTAAGAGGACAAAACAGAATCAACGATCTGTAAGCACGTTGTTCACAACCTTTCACTGCACCCTTCACCTCTCTCCTATTTCTCCTTTTCGTTTTTGAATCATCCAAAAGAAACCTTCCAAAACCTCTTCAAGGAAATAGTCTGCAGCCACAAGATTTTGTGCTAATGAAGCTCAAGGATTGTGAAGCCAGAGGTCAAGAGTACATCTTCTATGTCTGGGCTGAATTTGAAATTAAAAGGGATGCTTGATTTAGATCCAAGGGTGAGTAAGGTAAGGGGAGGAATAAACTCCAGTGGAAAAACTTACTAGAAGCAAAAAACAATGAATATGGAGAAATGCTACAAACTTATTCAGTTTGTGATGCCTCACCAACCTTATTAGTACTGATTGCATTGCATAGTACTCATTGCATTAATTTCTTCTTTGGTAACTTTTATTGAAAGGCAACTAACCAATATAAAATTAAACCAAATACAGGAAAGAGGAGAATGCCAGAGTGACATAGGTGCTGTTTCTGTTCCAGTTACTGACTGACAGCACTGCCATCCCTTAACATGGTTTTATTTAGTTATTACAACCACCTCTCTGTAAATGACACTTAGGATTATTTAAGATTATGTTGTAATCCTTTTAATCCTCAGTGCTTTAAATTTCAGGCTAAACACCAAAGAGCAAACTAGCACTTAGCAGAAATATTTAAAGCATGTGATTTGAACATAAATCTTCTTTTATTCACCACTCCTCTGATGAAGACCTAGTGTATCACGTCATTCAGCCAGTGAGAACAAACAGCATAGTATCTCACTGCAAACTGCTACATGTAATGCTGTTTCTAGCCAGTTCTTTTCCTTGGTGCTAGCTAGATCATCAATTAAATAAATGAAGTAAAAATCAGAAGGTTATATTTTATGATATGCATATTTTTGGTTGCTCTCGAGGAATACTTGTAAAAACCCTAATATGTTCATCAGGAACAGAAATAGAATGCATGCACAAATTAGATAGTATGAGAGGCAGATCAGATTTATCCTGTTAAACAGAGAGTAGCTCAATTAAAACGAATAGAGTAACACTGCTGAAAACCTCATGATCAAGACCAGAAACCCAAATCTTCCTGTCTGAATTTCATTTACTTGCAGTTTCCCCTTTTTTTCCCCTGCATCGATCATGTTTCCAATTAATTTTCTTTATGATACCCCTATACTCCATCTTCTTGTTACCATCCATTAACTGTCATGGGCTTAAATTTTAAATTCAAGATTTCCTTCTTTTTCTTCAAGCCAAAATCACAGTACTCATTTCCTATTTCTAATCTATAATTCATGAACTCAAATTGAGCACCCAGGCTAAATCAAACTCAAAGTTTTGCACCTACGTCTAGTGCAACACATTAGCAGAAAGCAACATTTCTCTGTTTGAAACAGAAAATAATGTTCTATTGTTCAGAAAGTAACAAAGCAAAAAAACAACCTCACTTTGGAGATAAAATTATACTCATTTCTGAACATCTCATAGTTAGTCAGTTAATGTATTTAATCAAATATTAATGCTATGCATCTATATTTAGGTTGGAAAGAAACAAACCAGAAAAACAAAAAAACAAAACTGTCCACATTCTTTTCATTTGAACAAATTATGAATGTTGACGTGCATTATCAATGTTATTCCTATTCGTTAGGAATAGGTAGAGCATCAGAAGCTTTTTCTGAAAAATTCATTATCCAGGTACAAACTGACCTCTTCACTTTCAAACTCGCCTTGGATTTCCTCCAGACTATCTCATAAATTGCTTCTCCCTCTCTCTTGTCCCCTTCCCACTCTCTCTGCTCATGTAGCACCAGTCTCCTTCAGTCCTTTCCTTTCCCAAAATGTCACCACTACTGATGCCAAAGCCTTCTCCTCTTTCACTCTTACCATCTGGCATAATCTTCTTGTAGCTCTCTGTCTAAACAATGCCCCATCCCTTTTCAAAATGTGTCTTAACATATGTCCTTCCTCTCATGCTTTTACTTCTTAATGTCTCTCCCACTCACTTATTGGCTTGACGAAGACATGTTTTAATGGGTTCAAACAGTAGCACATGAATTTCCTTTCTCACATTATTCTGATTCAGTGGAGTTACACCTCACACTAAGAGAAGTGAGAAGAAAATATATTGCAAAGTCTTCACACAACTAGGTTGGATAAATCAATAACAGAGCTTCATTTGTCTTTGCATTGGAAAAGTATTAGCTTAAAAGAATCACCACTTCAATATGCATTTTCAAACAGAAGTTTTGCTTAATGCAAAAAGAGAAATAAACCCTAGAAGCTCAGAAGACTTGTCAGGGTGCTCGGGGGGTTTCAGGACTGAAGGCTGAGGTTATACTTAATCACTCTGGAAGTGAAAAAGCTGAGGATTGACAGCAAAACCAAAATATTTATTCTAAAAATACCTAGGAAATGACAAACCTTTAGGTGTTATTTCAAGACAACCTGAAGGATGTGGGGGGTACAGAAGCGTAATTCTGTCTTGGAGATGAGGAATATTTCTAAATATTGCATGCACTTTGGAAAAGATGTCTAGAAAAATAAACCTTGAAAAACTCTTTGTAACACCAACTGAGCCAAAGAGGTTTCTTCTCAGCAAGATGTGTATGATCCCTTGGGGGTTTCTTTGTGTAGTGATTAAATCCCAGAGCCAGGTACAGTTTCACTTGGTGATGATGCAGAAGGACTATCCAATAACTAACAGTATCTTGACCCCAGCATGTTTGCTTCTATGTCTCTCTTCCCTTTATTATTTAGATTGTTAAAAAAAAAAACTTCATTTTAGAACTATGGGAAACAACTCAATTCATAGAGAATAATATTTTGATGTGACTTGATGCAACTTCCAGTGAAACAAAAAGAAATCCTTCTAGTGATATTCATAGGAACAGGATTATGTCAAAAAATTGAAAATGTTGCATTAAACTCTTTTGGCTTCTAGATCCCAGAGTGTTAACCTTACAATAACACTCTTCTAATTCTTTCATCTCCTAAGGCCTTGGTCCTACCTTTCAATTCAACAGATTTAGATGTAGTAATTAAATAACATTATTTCCATCAATGAAGGATAGACCGATGAGAAATGTATATATTTCTATGTTGGCCTTGACAGAAGCAAGCTTATACCATGCTCCACTCCCCCTCCAGAAATGAACCTGGGTCATCACTGTCTGAGCACCCTGAACAGCAATAAAAATAAACAGTGTAACCACACTGTGTTGGAGCAATGCTTGTATAAGCAGTTTGAAGAAGTTGTGTTTATGGAAGTCCTTTGGGTCAAGATTCTAGGCCTGAACTCCAAGCAATTACCTACTAAGTTTTAAAAACAAATTGAATATAGAGCATTAATCAATAAATCAACAGGTTCTCAAGTGTTTAGGAAACTCAGTCATCAGAAATCCTTCCCTTAGAAAAATAGTAAACCAATGCTTGATAAAATGTTACACTCCTATATTAGCAGGAAAAATGCTGTATTAAGTCAGACTCCAGTTATTTAAAACCAAGGAAATAAATCCTACCTCTTAGTTTAGCAGAGCTTATACTCAAATGAGCAATGAAATGCATGCATTGCTTCTTACCTGAAAGACATTCTTTCTGCTGGATTTCTCTGGGGTCCACTCAATGTGAGCACCACACAAATCCACACACTCAGGTTTATAACCTGGTTTCTGCAAAGAAAAAATTAACTGTGAATATGACCTGACTTTCCACAAATGGACAAGATCCTGTACATTAAGAATAGATCAAGTTTAAGCAAAAGATTATTGTTGTGAAGCTTCTGGCATTACTCAGAAGAGTTCATTGTTCCTTTGTACTGTTAGATAATTATTCTCAAGATGTTAACTCAGAAATAAGGTTCTTACACTGCATACCTAATGTTAAATGTAGTTAGATAGTTAAAAAATAAAAATGTCTAATATACAATAGATCAAAACACAAATGTATACACACACTGACCAGAGTTTTTTAATTGCTTACTTTTCAAAACCTCATGAAAAGCCATCACATTTCAAGATAATGCTTTGTGGATTTTCCAACTGCAAATTGAAACTGATGAAGCTGGAAAGGACAGAAAGTAGACAAGAACGTACATCGTGTCTGTAAGACAAGCTATCTCCTTTCTCCAAACAAATTATCATTTCTAGCTCTAAAAAAATGAAAGCTTCAAGGACATGTGTGACACCCAGAAAGAGCTCAACACATAAGGGTAGCTTCATGTAGCGCTACTTCAATGTCAGTTCGTGCATCCCTGAGCAACATAGCTCTGCCTCCCCAGTTCCTCCATATGGATGAAAATAACTCAAAGAGCAGGGTTTTTTGTTTGTTTGTTTGTTTTTGCCTGTATCATTTATGTTTTGGGAAGTTAGTGTAAAGCACAGTATAATAATCCTCATTTACCATCTAAGCATCTTCTCAGAGACTTTCTCTGTGCAACAGTTTTGGCAAAACCCTTGTCATTTAGAGTAGACTTCATAGGCTAGGTTACTAAACTTACTCCATTATTCTTATGACATTTTACCTTAAGAAAAATAAATAGCATTGGCAACCTAATAGAAGTTGCAATGGCCAGTGCAGCATCAACCACATAATCAGTTTTCCAAACACAGAGAACTAAATTTCTCTGATGTTGTTATTAAAGGCTAAAAATAATGTGTGTTCTGCAGGATGCTTTTGAGATGGATGGAAAAGGATCTATTTAGGTTAAAAGGACTGAAGTAACAAATCCTGGTCAGATAATTTGCAGTCAGTCAAAATTCAGCCATTTCTCCATACTGGAATTGTAATTACGGTCTCCATTTGCCAAACCATAAAAATACCATGGTTCAAATCCTCTAAAACTGAGGGTCTAGTGTACCTTTGTTCCTTTTTATTATTATTATTCTTTGCAGAAAAAATATATTATTCAAAGCAGAAAGATATTCTTGTGGCTAAACCACTGGAAGAGGAGGGTTTGGATTTTTTCCCCAGCTCTGCCTCAGACTTCCTGTCTGGTCTCTGAGAAGAACTTAACTTTTCTAAATTCTAATACCAGATCAGAACAGTATTGATACTTAATTCTACAAAAGCGTTGTGAAATTTTATGAGTTACTATTCGCAAGGAAGAAGCAATCAAGTAAAATTATCACTATTAGTAAAAGCAAATAGGGAAAGAAAAAAAAAAAAAACTTCCAGTGTTGTAGTAGCTCACTGCTTAGCCAGGCAACAGCTTAGAAATGCTTCCTCCTCAGTAACTCATGGGACAACTAGATGTGCTGCTCCAATACCCTCCCCATAAACAACACAGCCTCATAAAGATGGGTCAGATGGGTTTCTTGCAAAACAAAAAGCAACCAACATGGAGTCCACCAATACTTGAACAATGAAGGCAGCTTTTTTAATCAACAGAGAAAGCGGAGTGATTTCAGAAGCATACGATGAGCTGAAAAGAAGCAATTCAAGCATAGACAAAGAACAAGGAAATAGTTTCTTGATGATGAAGGATGCGGGGGCTATAGAGTGTTTCCCTCAGGAAAACTACCACAGCATCACATACTGAAGTGAGAAAACCAATAGAAAGTACATCCATTGGTGGAAGTTTTACTGGATGGAATGGTGAACCTCAGAGGATTTTACTACTTTTCTAATTTCTATGACTGCAAGAAGTGGTAGAAGCTGAACTCCTGTGTGTTTAAGTGCATACAGTGTGTTGCTTTAAACTGGAGTTCATTTACTGCTCTGGTTCTGTAATCAGTAGAAGAAAAGGGTAAGGATATGCATCTCCCTCTCCCTCAGGGTTTTAAGATGACGAACATGCTTCTGCTGTGTGCAAACAACTCCAAAACTTCTTTTTTGGGGAACTCAGCATTTCTGACCACAACAGGATAGGAGGTGTCTGTGAACACCCACAAGTCAGGAGTATGGTACTGTATATAAAGCCCGTGATTAAAACTGCATGCAAAATCATTCAGATCATGCAGTTCTGGTTGAGTACGCCAGCCCTTCTGCTGCACCCATGGAGCTCTGCACAATGGAGACTAATGACTACTGCTTCAACCCATAGAGTACTCAGGAAAAAAGCCTAGAAATTCATTCTGGCCTAAACATTGTCCTGTTACATACTGTTTTCCTCAGAGATATTACAAGAGAGTAAACTAAGGTTAACTTGAAAGTTAACTTGAGTACTCCATGTCCTTGCTTTGTGTTTTGCAGTCAGAGCAATTATGTTACATCAGTGTTGTTAGAGGGAGTTATGCTGTAAATTGATACAAGTGTCTGCTGCAATGAAATCTTCTGCAACATGAATATGGATTTCAGCAGCATTTTCACTCACTAAATTACTTTGCAGATGGGCTAATAACCTGAGGTTAAAATAACCTCTGTTGAATAAACTGTCTCCAGAAATAAACAGTCTAGTTTTTCTTGGTCAGAGAGGCCAATCGATAATAAAATTTAATGCTGGTTAGAAAGAGTGAAGCTGCGATCTGTTTCAATCACAATGTCCTTAATTTAAAACCAAAAATAAGTTATATTCTTATGAGCACCAAAAAAAATGTATCTAAAGCATGGCAACAAACAGTCAAAGCAGGAGGAAAAGACAGTGATTTAGCTATGTGGGATGCAAATTTCCATTTACAGCAAACAAGTATATATATTATGGATCTCTCCTCTATGTACTTTAGTGACCATTATTATTTTTATTACTATGTATAATATCAGATATCACTACTTTCACTGGAAAGCTACAACTCTCAGACATCTCCATTGAAATCAATAGGAAAGTTCTTACACACACAGTTGTACAAATGAACAACAAGAACTTTTCAGAAGGACTAGTTGTCTAAGTTTGAATATTAAAGATTATGGTAAATATAATTTTAGATCACCTCTACATGTTACATTATCATCAGAAGAGGTATGAATAAAGTGTACTAAAGCGTACTATCACTTCCCTCTCCTGTTGCCTTCATTGTGAGATTTTCCTCTTATAACGATGCTGGCTTATTTTAAATCTTCACATAATATATTTAACAACAAATAATAAATTAATATCTTCATAATACAAAGCAATCTTTTTGTTATGTCACAATTTTCCTGCTAACAATAAAAATGCTTTGTTATATTTCATACTACAGTAAATGAGCATTGCTTCCATTACTGTATTAAATTCATGGTTGAGTTCCCTTTTTTCCTGAAATAAACTAAAAGAAGATTGGGAAACAAATGATTTTTAAAGAAGCCTTTTTATATAATTTTGATAGTGGAAAGGAAATCATATCTGGTTAAATGGTTTACAAAGGAAATAAACATTGCATTTGCTTGATCAGGTGAAATGACTGTGCTAGCTTAGATTTGTTTTTGTAAAAGTGTGAAATTTCTGCTTAGAAAGTTGAGATGACTTTTTTTTTTTTTTCCTCCAAGTTTTGTCTAATTTACTTATTTCCAGCTGCATAGAAGTTAAATGCAATAGACAGAAAATGCATCTTTAACTCATTTAGAGAGTACAACCCTATTGCTTAGATCTAACATAGAATTGAATGCATTTACCATCTTGGCACTGAAAGACCGAATGTACAAAACACAAGGTGCATCCAGAGCTGAGCTAAGCAGCCCCTGTGTTCATTTTGGCCCCCACTCTATGAATTAGAGCCAAGTGGCTCACAACCTCATTGAATCAGATCCTTCAGATGAGTACCAAAAACATTGCAAAAGCTTCCTTCCTTCTATGCATAACTCAGCCATAAATGTTTCTCATGAATGTGTCTTTATCTTGGAGACTTTGCTTTTAGATGCTTTTGGAAAAGAAAAAAGAAAAAACATTTGTTCAAAATGATCCCTTTGATATCTTCTAACTTGCACTGCATTGAGGAAGAACACATTCTGGACTTTGTTAGTTTAATGCAATTTGAGCATAACATGAATTAGTTTCCCAAATATATTGATTGTATGACAGCAACACTCACCCAGAAATAAAAGAAAGCTAATAAATTATCTGTTTTAAAGGATGTATTTTAGACTCACACACACACAGGAAAAGCTAATTTAAGGTAAACATGACTTTGGAAGAAAGTATATTAACTTATGCTATACTGTTCTCATGGCTACAGAGAAGTGTTATCTTACCTGATGTACCTGCACAAACAAGCAGATAGTGTTAGATTCTATCCTTTACTTATTTTTATTATTTCACTTTTTTTTTTTCAAATATATTTTTGCTATAACCCTCACCTTTCCAAAAAAGCAAAGCATGAAAAGGCAATATTTAAAGCTGATTTCACAGCAGGAGATAACATTTAGATCAAGAACATATAGGTTAAAAATACGTTAAAAAAGGGTTTTATCACCTGCCACAGAAAAAAAAAAAAATAGCTTATTCTTTGTGACTCCTGCCAAAGAGAGCACCTTTGTGGCCACCCATCATGCCAATAAGATATGACAGGTTTGATCAGGCCTTGAGAGCCTTTCACAATAGGGCTTTGTCAAACCTGTCCCTTTTCTGCCCACAGTGTCACACATTTACCAAAATCCCCTTTTGTTGCCCATGTTCAGATTTGCAGGCTCAAACTCCACAGTAACTAGCACTGAAGGGATACATGCCATTATTGCTTGTGCAACGTAGCTGTCACATCTACAAAGACTAAGATCAGTGGTCTTTCCTTGGGGCACAATAAAGAGGTACTGCAAATTTCACTTTGTAGTAACTACAGGCTACAGAAATTGCATTAGCTGCATTAGCTGGAGTCATAGAAATATTCAGGAAGGTTAGCAGGATATGGTAGATGTCACATTTATACTATGATAAAAAATCACTTTGCTAACTTACAGTGTTTTCTGCTTTGGTAACACCCTGTATTAAGGTGCCATTTATAAATAATTTATTATTATTTATTAATGTATAAGCCACTTTATAGGATGGTAGATAACTTAAATTCATGTATTAAAGATGCACATACATGGTTTAATACAATTTGCATCTCACAATATCCTTCGCAACAGATTCTCAACGCATCATCTGTTAAGCATTTATTACTAATGCATTTTATAACATACTTTATAATACATTATTTGAGGAACTAGCTGCATTTAGTGATCATTTTCATAAATAAGAATAAAGCATTTATGAATGACACCTTAATTTAAAGTGTTACCTTCACATTACTGGATAGTCACTCGCCATTTGTCTCACTCCGCAATTATTCTCAAAATGCACCTCTTAATAAAGGACGTGCTAAGGCCTATTTCTTCTCATACTCTACATCTGATTAAAAGTTTATCAAGGCATTTTCCTTCAGCTGCTCTCAGGTCTTTGAAGGTTGCCAACTTCACTCTTGAACTTGCATTATATAAGCAGCAAAGTCTTTAATACTGAAGTAACAGTTGCAAAGAAGCTGAGCGTATTGAATGGCTGATTGCCTACCAGATTGGCCAGCGCTGGCTGTTTGGATTCTTTGTAGAATTCCATTTTCCTTGAAGTAAGAACAATCCAAGACGTGGACCAGTTTTTCCTTAAAAATAAAATAGTAAAAATTATTAGCAAGACATGCAAGCAGTATGTAAGAATTGTTTCATCTGTAGACACGTTTTTTAAATATTTCATTTCAGAAAGAAAAAGTGGTCTGAACTCAATCTACTGCTAGTCTTGATGAAATTGTACCATCATAATTATGATACGAGTGTGGCCTAACAGGAAAGCATGAAGGCTTTGTTTCCTCTCATTCCCATTTTAAAGCCCCCCTGCTTCTTTTAGCACCAAGGTGCCTCAACCACAGGAAAGCAGAGGGATTATTCACACCTGCTAAGAGCATTCCAATAGCTTATGCCCTTCTGATAACTACTATTTAAAATAGAATCAAGAAGGAAAAAATAAAGACAATTTGGTCCAACTGCATGGGCTCAGTAAAGGGTCTGTTCTGAAAGGTTCAAAATACTTTCGCTTGGTTCAAAACAAAAAATCCACAGGAAAAAGAAAGAAAAGAATGATATTTCAGAGAGGTTTCAGTTTTGTAAAACACAGGGAGGTTATAGTACAGCCTAATATGCTGGTAAACTGCTGGAGCCTGGGACAGGAAACCAAAATACACATGGATAGAGGAAACAGTGTCTCTCTGCACAGAAGAACACAATAATCAACTCATAGAGAAGTTATATTATATATATGACATATAATGTGATGTTTCAAACCACCATATAATCATAAACAAATTCATCTTGCCTGACAGAAATTTTTACATGAAAGGCAAGTTTGACTCTCTGATTTTGGGGTCGTAACATTTCTTATTTACAAAAATGCTCATAACTTGTCTGTTTGCTTTTTGTGAATATAAACTGCAAATCTTGATATTTTAGAACAGACTTGAACATGTATGCGACCACGGGTTATTTTAACAATATTCTGGTGTCTTAAAAGGAGGAAGTTGACTGTTATCATCAGTAGCATCAAAATATATTTCGTCCTTATTATTTCTTCTCTAGTCTCTTCGAGCTCCCAAAATTTAACTATCCTAACTAAATCAAACACATTCATTTTTTCATTCTAGCTACAATGGTCTTAGTTGAGCTGTTGGCTTTTTTTTTTTTTTTTTTTTTGGAATGTTGAATTTCAGATGCACCTCAAAGCTCAGTTGCATTCAATATGGCATCAAACTGAGCATCAAGCACAATAACAGGTTGTTTCTCTTTTAATTATCTCCCTATGTAATACAGAGGAGTATAACCAGTCTTACAGATGAAGCCCTCATTCCACTGACATTAGCAGAACTTCTGCTCATTTCTGTGCAGCCAAGATTTCACCCAGCACAATAAAGTTCATCCCCAAAATATATCCTACAGGTGGAAAACAAACAAACAACACTCTCAGTGAATTAGAGGAACAGATTTGAAGACAATAGGACTGCATTCTTAATGTTATGTCAATTGAGGAAAAAAAAAAAAAATACAGAGAATAAGAAAAATAACTGACTGGGAAGATATATTATTCCCCAGTGTTTGCATGTCACTTTGAAATATCCAGCTAAGTTTATTACAACTATGAAGTTGTATCCATAGCTAATGTGAACTATGTTCTGCTCACAGCTGAGGACTGCACATATTGGCATTAAGAACACTTCAACCTCAACTAATTTTTTTTTTTACAGTGTCCTTGTGAAATAAGCACTGTAGCTAACAATCACCATCAAAGCAATGAGTACAAGTTGTCTAGTGGTAAGCACAGCTTCAGTTCTTAATTTCTTTTTTTTTTTTCCTCCCTACTCATAAAAGGTCTTGCAAGTAAGCAGACAAGGCTACTGTGCACTGATTTAAACAGATTTTCCTATGGGTTGGATATACTGCCTAATTATGGATTACTAGGGGATTAAAATCCTTAGTACACAGCCTACATTCAGCACACAACTTACATCAAATGCTTGACATCAGGCTCAACCAGTATCAAAAATGTACACGTACCTCAGAAATATACAGGTACACATAGGATACTGACTAAAACAGACAAAAAAAATCCACCCCAGCAGCACTTACATGCAGGACTAACATAAAGCAGATACAGTCAGGACACACACCATTCTGCTCCAACAGCTGGGAGTAGGAGAGCTCACTCCAGCACCTCACACTGGGATTCCCACTGGCTCCAGTAGCAGGAGCTGGCATACCAGTTTGCCAGTAGCTAGCAGCCTGTACATAAAGTCTGTAGGATCCTTTCAGATGCAGAGAGCTATGGTCCCACCAACTGGTGCCAGGACCCCAGGAGCCAGCACCAGAACCTGCAGGCCTCTGCCCTTTCCCTTATTCCAGTAGCTGCGACCAGTTCACGTGCACACACACCCGCAGGTCCCACCAGGAGCTAGCATGTAGCCCTTCACACAGAAGGGAGTAGGAATACATAAATAGTTTATGGGACTGACTGTGGTGATCAGTTTCAGGCCTCATCCAGCATGTACTGCCTGGCTTCCTTTTACAAATGACACTTTTTACATCTTTTGCCCTCCTTCACCTCTCTCCCATGCACAGCTTTATGAGTTTGCAGCTCTCAGCAATTTCTACATCTTTCCAGGCTGGGGTCCCTCAATTCACATCTTCTGCAAAATCCAGGCTGATCTTCACAGAGATGACACCTGTAGTTTGATAGCCCATCAATTTGTGTGACTTTAAAGTTTCTGTCTTGTCATTGTCTCAATGTTTGCTTTGTCAAGACTGTTTCTCAGCATTTTACTTACTGTTTTCCCTCTTCTTCCTATTTTCCCAACTGAGAGATCTCACTCCGATAATGTGCTTGAATCAACACCCCCACATGCTGTCTCCTTCCTTAGCAATTAGTGCTACTGACCAAGATTTTTTCTGGCTGGTGTCTTTTACTTAGGAGTCCTCAACCAGATAAGCCTGCTGAAATAAACATGCCCTCATCAAATACTGTGACTGACCAGACTTGGTTCCCATCATTTCCAATGGGCAGTGGGTAATAAGAAAGGTAGGCAAAGGTCCTTCACCAGATACCCTCAATGGAAGCAAATGCTCTTCTTCTACTTCACTTTACAAAGTATCTCTTAAAAAATGTTGGATAAGAGGTTTTACCTATACTTCATTCTAAAGTTTAAAGGGAGAATGCTTTAATTTCATGAGAGAAAAGGATATTTAGTGTTTTGGCAGGAGACTACAGGAAATCCCTTCCAACCACTACAATTCTCTGACTCTGTGAAATGTATTAGTGATGAGAATGCATATGAAATCCACCATGATATCTATATGATATTTTTCCTCTATATTCAAATTCCCTAGTCCTTTTATATTAGTCATTTCATTTAAAAAATTACATTTTAAAAAATCAAAACTCCACCGTTTTTGTGACCTAAAATTAGAAAGTATATGGACAATCTGATAAATATTTTCTATTTCAAGCATTTATTACTCAGAGTTAAAAAGAATAAGCAAACTCCTTAAAGTGCATTAGTCTTCTTACAGATAGGGATGCTGTATTTGTTCCCATATAAGCAGTGACCTAAAACTTCCAGTTACTTTAGAAAATTTCTCACAATATTGTAGGGTTTTTTTTATTTATTTATTTATTTATTTTTTCCACTCACAATAAAGTAGTTTTCTTTTTCTTCCACATCACTCTAAGATTATTCAATAACTCACCTCTAGTCAGTGAACAAGTTTAGGGAAGTGAAAGGAGGAATCTGATAAAGTGTACACTAAGTAGATAAATCATTAGCACCCATGCTTTGTCTGCATAAAGACCCATAAACATCAATACACAGAGAAAATCCAGCTAGATTTAACAAGTATTGCTTGAATTCACCTATATCCGTGACATTAAACTTACAGTTTAAAACACAGACAGCTCCTGAAAGCTAACCACTCCTGCATTGAAATGAGTCCTATTTGAGAGCTGCTGCAGCATTTGCATTCTGTCAAACGAACACCTGATGGCAGCACATTATAGCTTCAGCGCTACTTTCAATTTCTAAGGCTTTTTTCTTTTTTTTTTTCTTCCAAGATATGAGATCTTTCAGTACTGTTTAAAACAGCAGCAGTCATGCTGGGTTGCCTCTTCCCTGTACCAGTGGCAAACTGATGTGCAATGCCTAGCCGTGGGGATGTACTGTGCTAAGGGTTCCTACAGGCATCGGTTCTTACTGGGAAGTTAACACTCCTTTCTGGTCTGGCCTTATTGGCAGATCATGCCATCCTACATGCACCCTGCAGAAGCTTTGGCCCAGGTGTGGTATGAAGTATTACTGGCTTTGGTGCCTTTTCCCAAAGTGCAAGTGTCACCACTCTCTGATGTGTTACCATCTGCAGGGTACCCAGTAGTAGGTTTGGTTATGGGTAGACAGCATTCTAGTTTGAAGTAAAAAGGTGAATGGACATGGTGACATCCAGACTTACTTAAAATAAATAAAAATTCCAAGATCTTTACAGATTATCACTGTACGTACACTAACTTATTTCTCCAGGCAGAAGATAAAATATTTCATATTAATCTCTAATGACCATTGGTACTGTACAAGACACTGATCACATCACTGCTACCACCTTACGGACATTTAGATGCAGCAAACGATAGCAAATATTTCTATGAATAGCTAATATTCATATTATTTTTAGCAGAAATAGTGTTAAGGAAATAAATGCTGACTGCTGTTGATAGTCCTGCCTAGGCATCCTCACATCCTACATCCCATCCTTGACTCCTGAAGCACACACAGAGCACCTACAGTTTTCCTACTTGAAGAAATATTAGTTTGTGTGGTGTTTTAAAGCTGTCTTTAATATGCATATGGCATGTAACACATGCTCCTTACATGTAATCAGCCTGCTAAATGTTGTTACTTGCATTCTAAGACTGTAACACTCCAAAAGCTGATCACACATTGGGTTAATGCTGAAATAAAGTCATTTTGGCTATAAGCCACAGTAATAGCTATATATACTTAAAATTCAGAGTGGATATGTGTTTACAACTGATAAGTTCTGAAACATTTACATATAATACCTTAATTTCTTGCCACCGTCTGCTATTTTAGCTTTTAGAAGATATCCTTCTTTCTCCACCACCTACAAGAAAGGAAAAGAAAAATAGATCAAAACCATATAATTTACTCAGGTTAATGTATCCATTTAGTTAGTACACACAAGAGTCCACATCTAACTGATCTAGTAGGGGTATATTTTATCATTAATTCTCACTTTAGCCATTTATTTTCCTGTTACAGTCAGTTCTTTTGAAAGTACACAAACAACTTGCAAAGTCAATTAGTACACAGAATTAATCTGGAAGAAAAGCTTCTGATAATGCTTTATTGGTTGAGTTAGCAGAAACTTATATTAATGCATGTGAAGTTTCTGGTTATAAGTTAAAAAAAATAAAATATACTATAAGTAAATTATGTCATTTAATATATTGAATTGTAGGAGTTCATGTTTCTTTAATAGCTATTATGAAGCTCTTATTATGAAGCTATTCTGTAAATAATTCTTGATTCTTACAGTGTAAAGAGATTTCTGTTTAGGGCCAACCAATGTCAGAGCAGTGCCAAATATGGGTACAACAGGAAAAATCCCATTGCCTCCATATGTGCCACATTTTGCTTTGAGTTAGTACAAAAACAGAGCTCACTGAAGATGCTGGAAGACATTGTACTTTTATATGGTGCTGCCTTCTGGACGAACTATAGCATTGAGGATCTCACCCTCTCAGCCTTTAAAAGGTCACACTTCACTGGAGTGTGTGTGACTGTGTGCAGGAAAAACTGTCTTCAAGTTCCCAGCTGAACTAAACGATCTCATGCTATAGCAGAAAACCAAACCGAGTGGTTGGTCAATTTTCAACATAAAATCTGAAACTAGAACTATAAACAGAGGAAATCACAGCTATGACATCCATTTTCCAAAACACATCCAAGAAGGCGAAACCCTTAGCTAGCACCTACACAAAACAGTATGTGATACTAGCAATCTGATATCACCTGCATAGATCCCTGCTTTACTATTGCAGTTTGTAAAATGATGAAAAGCATAACAGTGACAGCAGAGCAGTAAGATCCCAGTCTGCAGCAAGCAAGGATTCATCCAAATGCAACAGCAGTAGGTAGAAAAACAAAGAAAAGAAGCTGCTTACCTTCAGAAGGCTTAAGGTACACAGAAATCTCCAACAAGATTCCCCCACCCCCACTACCAACCCTTAAATGAGGTCTGGGGCAGATCCTTGCTCCACCCCTTCCAATCACTCTGGTACATTGCTTGCACCTGTGCTCCACTAGGTTGACCCTGCCTTCCCACCAGGTGTTCAATCACAGCTTCAAACTGCAACTCAGAATTTCTACCGCACAGTTTCTGAAATTTGACCCCTTTGTTTTTTTGTGTCTGAACAGGCCACAAAATGTTGGACAGACATGAGGCTGCAGCACTAGATTGCACAGGATCTTTGTTGCATTTGAGTTTTGGAATACTAGAAGTGAATCCTACACTTGTTCTTCATTTTTATTTCTCCCTTTCAATTTGTGGTCCTCCATAGCTCTACACATGCTCTAAAACAGCAAAACTAAAAGCCACTTGGTCATACTTTCTGAACAATCTGCTTAAACAATCCTTATAAAGTCATGATACAGGCTTTGGGATGTTTCAGAGGACTATGTAGGTTTGTATTAAGAAAAACTAAAAGAAAAAAGAAAATTATTCAAGTAAACTTACTGAATTGCTTTCTCATTAGTTTCGGGTGCCCTGACTATGTTAGTAATGGAAAAAGAGAACAGAGGGACACCTCAGTGTTTCCAGAAGTAAAACAGTGATTCACAGTGAGCCTGCTTTCACTTTCAAACACTGCTGAGTCAGTGCCTATTTGGAGTATTAGTAACTCCTCATGGTCTTATAGGAAATTTCATCACGAGATGATTTTGTACCAATTTCAATAGGTTTTTTTTTTTTTTTTTTTTTTTTTTCCATCTGCAAAGCTATGAAATGGCAATAAAACATGCTTTGACCTGCAACATAAGAGTTTTTAAATCAAACATACCTTTGATTTTACTTGCACAAAATATCAATCATGCTATTAACAAACATTTGATTATCACCACAGATTTTGTCTGTTGCTTGTAATATAGATTATAATGAAATATATACACGTATCTGTTCGTACCAATGAAAAGGTCTGTGGACAATGATCTAGGTGATATTCTCAAATGTGTACATAGGTATTAGTGTGTGAATTTTCTCTAATTTGTACTTATCTCATGCAAATTCCTATCATGCATATCATTGCCATAGAAAATCCAGAGAGAAAGTTATGAGGATTATTGTGCGGAGTCATGTCACTATTTATCTAGTGATGGATGGGTGAAATATTAGAACTAAAATAAGACTTAATCCTCAGGTCCATATACTTTTTTTCCCTTCTTTTTTATAAATACACTTATTTTACATCTTTAGAAAAAACGTCTTCCCCTCCTAACTGTTCATTTTTGTAAAATAAATCTTCTGGTGCTTGGCCAGGGCCAGTGATGCCAAATAACATATGAGAAAGGTTATTCTTTTAATATTTCTATCCATCTGGAAACAGAAATTGGGAGGAGCATTGGCTAACCATTCAAGCTGTTGATTGCTTCTCTGAATCAGACCCAAAATTTCATCCTTGCAAAGTTTACCAACACTCTTTCCAGACTGTTATTTTAACAAATCCAAAACTAAAGGCAAATGTGATTTTCAACACTGGATTTGAATCACCTCTGTTCCTACATTTTGGAAAGTTAAAAATTGGATATGTTTCCAGATGAAAATATTGGTGCTCAATCATATGTTCCACGCAGCAGTCTTGAGCTAGAATATCAAATCCATTAGCAAATGTGGGGCAGATAAGATATCCCAATTTACGTCCTGTAGTTCAGATCCATCCTTTGTTAAAACTCGAACAGCACAAAACTAAACAGTTCAGAAATACAAGCTATACATGAGACACCTAAGTGTTACAGAAGTCATATATATATAGGTTTAATTAAATTAGTACAGGTGCTGTCTGTAAGAAAATCAGCACAGTTTTCATTATTCAATAGTGTGTACAGTGTTCTCTGTAATTAGCATACAGTGTATTCACAGAATTACAAAATGACTTTATCACCAAGACAAATAAATGATTCCAAGGATGACCCCAATATTCATATAATCTCTGTTCAGGGAGCTGTATTTTCCTTGTCTAACATCTGTTAATATCCCTTTTTCCACGTACAGATTTTGAAGGAAATACTTCCATGATGGCTCAGGATTCTATTGTAAATGGATGACATTAGATTAAAAAGAATACGAAATATATCTTAATGATATGCTCTGTTTTTTTTTCCTGTCTTAATAAATATCATCATTTCTTGTTAAGATGTTGCCCCTTCTGCACCTTTTTGACATATGGAAGGTTGAGAATATAACCCAAAATGCCCTGAAAGAATTAACATAGAAAAACATCAAATAGTTCTGTTCTTTGTTGTTCTTGTTGTTGTTTCCTTTTAATTTGTTATTTAGGGAAAAAAAAAAAAAAAGATGCAAAATTGTACGTATAAATATTTGAGTTTCTATCTAATGAACAAACATTAGGAACAGTGTAAGAAACAGTAGTTACCTCTAGGTCACATATAGGTTCCATAATTTTCTTATTTATTGAACCTAATACTTAAAAGTCCATATACATAAAAATACAAAGAAGTGTTTAATTAATCTGTATTTGAATATTCATTATATTTTCATTGTAAAAGTAATAATAATAATTCTCTACCCTTTTCATTCCCCCTAGATTATTTTAGTTTCATGAAAATTGTGGTAAATGTAGTACTCCCTTTCATTTAGAAAAACTAATACTAGAATGAAAAACAACTCTGTGTGGACAAAGACATGGTTACATTCCTTTATCTAGAGTGTTATTACTGATGAAATAGCCTAGTAGACTGAGCTAACAGCAAAGTCAAGCCATACAAATTGCTTTGTATCTTTGAATATTATTCCTTTTATTGATTAATCGAAGTCCTTTAAATCCCTTAACATCTTGAGGCATCCAAAACCTCCTGTATTTATTCTTTAGTAAAACGTGCAATATTTACATTGCAAGCTTTTAAAGAGCAAGAATGATTTATCAGTTCTGTTAAGCAATTTCTTACCGTGTGGTCTGGTGTACTGATGATGTCTGCAAGTGTTAAGTTATGTTGGGAATGATTTCTTCTGTGACGATTTATCTAAAAAAGAAAAAAAAGTAAGGATTTAATTCCAAAGCAAATCCAAATCTATACAGATGAAGATGGACTGACAAATACAACTACCAGGCATGTGCATCCAGGTATTGGATGTAGTTTTGGAAACTTGGCTTCTTTTAGTACAGCTTTTCTGTGAAAACTGATTTTACCCCAGTATTTGGTAACCTTCCTGGATGTTAGAAAGGCACAGCTACTAAATTCTGAAGATCTTTCTCATAAATGTGCTTTTTTATGATGTGACATTGGAAAAGAAAGCTAAAACTTGACCAATTGATAAAAATTGTTTGAAAGTGAGACTCTTCCATCAAGAATCTTCTGGTTAGGTGATCTTGCCCCCATTTTACAGAAATGGGAAAGGTGCTAACTGGAACCTCGAGACTACAGAGCAAGTCTCTGAAGAAATTAAAACATATTTGGGAATGCATATGGAATACGTCTTATGTTTTAACTGCTCTAAAGGCTATTTCTAACTCTCCGTGTCTAGAAGGCTGCAGCAATACTGGACTCTGATTCTACAATTGTTCCCGAGGGCTGAGTCCTCGTTTCCTCCAGTTCCCTCTTTTCCAGAAGATAACTGTGATTTAACTCTGCAAAATCAGATTACATTATACCAGACATTGTTAAGACTAAATAAAAATTGGATCACAAATCAGGGGCTTCTATTGAAAAAAACAGGAGGAATTTTACAAATCTGTGTCAAAGAATAGGTCACCAAGAGATATGTATACATTTTTTCAAAACTTTTACTGCTTAAATTTGGTATTACTCAAAAATAATATAGTTTGGATCCTGTAAAATCCAGTTATTTTCTCATCTTTGACAGAAATCAAGAAGCGAATGACAAAATAATTTCAACTGGTTTCCACTGCATTCATCATAATGCATTCTCTTTTTCTCTATTGAAGCGGAGTTAGCTGAAAGTCATAATATATTCTGTTTATATTTAAGTGTCTGAATATAGAAAATGTTCTTAATTAATCCAGAGGGCCACGCTCAAAAAGCAGTTAAACATATTATGATCCCATATTTTTTCTCCACATATTGCTTTCATGTTTATTTGTAAGCGCTAACATATTTAAGCCTTGAAATCTATATCCTAGATATTGCTCTACTCTCCTAGTCAGAGCTAATGAGCTTAATGAATTACCAGTTCTAAATTTAATACAAACATTTCAAAGAAAGAGATAAAACATTCTTCACAATTCAAAAGTTTCTCTGACCTATTTATGAAGAATATCACTTAACAATTTCATTAAGGGTGAGTAACAGCTGGTGACATGGCTGTGTCCTAAAGTGTTTTTCTCTCTTAATATTCTGCATCTTAAGCAATCGAGCTTTCATAAGGAATACTTTAGTTAGTGGCAGTCCCTCCTTTGGGGAGAAAAAAAATGTCAGACCACATTTTCTGTATTTTGCAATCTTGTTTTCAGGAGTGTCATGTTCCTGTTTTATTAGCATGTAGAGTAAACAAGAATGATTTGCTGATGCTATTGAGAGAACTTCTAAGATTACAGTCTTTCCATTTTAGATTTTGGGTGGAACTTAATATTAATGCAAGCAGAGACATGTCTATAAATTCAAAATAAATTAATTCAATGTATCTTTTTCTTTATCCTTACTACCCAGCATCTCAAAGTCCTATAGCGCACAAGACATATAACTAAAGTATTCAGGTCTAGATCATAGAAAGCATTTTTTACCCAGATCCCCACTCTAATTATTCTTTAACATACAGCATAGCATACTGCCCCATGATGCTTTCCAAAATATATGCTTCACTCATCCAAATTAAGTAACAAGACACACTACTACTCCACAGCACTTATTTTAACATTCACTTCTCATCTCCAGGAATCACATGTGTCTGTTGGGGGCCCTATATGCAACTCTGTGAAGTGCACAGCACCGATCAGAGCTTTTGGTCTGGTTTTAGATTCGGTGATCAGAGCATTACAATGAAAGAAATGCTCGCATTTGGTACATGCTAGAAATAATACCAGAGGCATCAAATCCATCCTCAATCAAATGATGGAAAGAGATTGTAAAATGTACTTTAAGTAGTGTAGCAAGTTATTCAAGGAAGCAGAATTTTTAAAGAAATTAAAAAATTCAAGGAAATATAAAAAGATTGAATAAAAGATTTAATTCTGGGTGCAGATGGCATTATGTGTCAATCTCTTTGCTATCTGCAAAGCAGAAATGATAGGGAAAACTGCATATGTGCAGTGAGAAAGAATAGACTTCATCATCTAATATGACACTTTTGCAATTTTGCTTAAATTGTAGATGTTTCTCTTACAGGACAAAAATGAAACTGCATTGTTGCCCAGCAGTGAGCAATGCAATCTCACGCAACAAAGTCCTGGATCTCCCAGATGAAGCAATCAAAATCCACAGTTATGTAAGCCAAGTTCAAGCTCTTCTGGAAAAATCTACCTAAAATATTTGGCTGAAAAGTGGAGTTAATGGAAACGTGAATTTCCTACCAGCATTTTAATTTAGGAATGGACCTTCTGAAAAACTGAGTTAAAGCACCTTGAATCAAAACTCAACAATAACATTCTTTAGTAAGTTAGATTCCATTAAATTCCAGAAGCACTTCTAACAATTCACTCAAATACATATCACAAACCCTACCAAATGAGTTAACTGCATCACTTCCTTTATGATAATATTCAATCCACTGTTAAAACACTCTCAGGAAGAGCATCTGTTTGACAAGGAGGTCAGTACACTCACATTTCTTCAAAATTCACCAGTTTTCCCGTTAGCAAAACCAAAAGTCTAAATGAAAAGTAACAATTCTCAATTATATATATTTTTGAGTTACCCAAATACTCAAAGGAAAGCAGTGGCTTGATTTCAGTCTTTCCTGCAGTTTTTTAATAGGTAGACCATAAATTAGATGTTTTCAGTTATTTTTCTCTCTATAGCTCCATTCAATTACCCTAAGAAACTGAAGCAAAATCTAAATAACGTCTGTCACAAGTCCTCTACCTCACCTCCCAGGATATGATGAAAGGCAGAGATATACAGGAGAAGTTCGTGAGATCCCTTTTTGGGAAAGTCAGCTTATCAGCAGTTTTCTGATTTGATGAGCATTCTTCAGTCAGCAACAATGTCACCTGCAGCATTAAAAATCCACTCTGCGAGCGCTTTCAAGTCTGTGGGCAAGTCTGTTTTTGTTAAATTCAGCCTCAGCAGCCCTCCCTTCCCCTTAGCTAAAGGGTATCCATCTCCTACCCAGAGTTATTCCAGCATCTAAACATTAATCCATCATTATACTTTCTAGAATGGCAAAGCCTCCGTTACACATGCCTGGTATCCTGGTGTGAAGGGACAACCATCTGACAACTGCTACTTTAACATTAATGAAATAACATACCATAACCTGATATCTAATTCCATTTCTTTTCATATACCTATTTGTTCTTTCATTTCTCCCTCTTTCTGTGGGAATTCATCACCACTATCTCATTGCTGGTCTCCTCATATAGTATGGTGTTGGCTTAAAGAAAATCTTGAAGGACTGATTTGGATTTTTCTTTTTCTTATTATAACCATATTTCTGACCTAATTCATCCAGGTCAGCAAGAAGCAGCGTATTTATGTCTGATTTCACCCAAACATAATAAAATTGACTGGCATCTCCCAAAAGGTCCAGACAGAATGCTTTAATGCAATCTACAGATGGTGAATTATTTCCTGAAACATCAACCTGAATTCACTCTTATCCTTAAGTAATTAAGAGAATTCTAAGACCTTTATAGGTGGTTTCCAACATTATTGAATAAATTAACAATCATAGACTATTTACACACAAATCCTCCTGTCAGCAGACTGAGAAAACCATAGCTTGCTCAAACAAAATACAACTAGTGCAGAATAGCTCTGCTTCGGATAAAAAAACCAATGATAACATCAACCTGCTATTTTCTCCACCAGCCACTGTACTGCTCCACCAAGGAGAACGTTCTCATGGAGGTTTTTCTTAGCATTCTACCTATTACCTCTTTGTTTACACTTTGACCTTTCTTCTTAGGAGTTTAACTATTGTTTACTTTCATCCTCACCACACTGCAGTCAACTAACATGGAGACTCCTTCATAAACACCCAAAAAGAGAGAAACCCCTGCTGTTGAGAGCTTGCTCCTGCATGTTGCTCTGCTCTGGACTTGATCCAGCAAAGCACTCTGCAACACATTTAAGTGGTTTTCTGGATGAGGGCCAGAACACTCAATTCTTTATGGGATCGAACTTATGGTGGCAGCATTCAAGTTTGCAATAAAAGTACAAAGTAGTCGCATAAACTTTTGTGAAAACCATTCCCTCAACAGAGAAGGAAGGGTGATACCTGATTTAGTGATGCCTGTGGTCATTTCATTCCCTGTCACTCCGATATGGCAGTGACTGCTCATAATTGTTTAGATAGAGGAACTTAACTAAAACTTATTGTAGTATTTCTTAATAGCTCAGTCTCTTAAAGACACCTTGGCTATGGGCAAAGGAAAGGAAAATCCTGTAACATTTCATTCAGTGCAGGGCTTCAAGCAATTTGTTTTGAAGAACAACTCTCAACCATTATAGCAAGTCTATCATTATCTACAGAAATTATTTGTAAACAGCTCTGGTACGATAAGGTTTGTCTTCCACTGTGAAAGGCAGTAAGAAAATCCCACGGGGCTTCCTACTTGGAAACGCTCCTTTGTCATCTCAGTAGGCAAAGGTTTTCTATCCATCCTCAAGAAGTAAAGAGCAATCCCCTTCACACCTGACCTCTGATACAGATGTTCTCAGTGTATTGGAGCCTGTCCAGCCCTGGGGAAATCTTCCCATGTCCCTGCTGCTCCTTGCCCATAACTGTATTCCTCCTGGCTTGCTCTGGAGCCCTCCTACCACTCTTACTGTCTTCCAAAGGCTGACATTATAGCGATAATAGGAGATTTTCTCCTTGCTTGTCCAAAGAGATTTGTCCAGAGGAA